CCCCAAAACCCCAAAACCCCAAAACCCCAAAACCCCAAAACCCCATTAAATTTTATCAAAGTTGAAAGAAGTTAGTCATTCCGCTTTTGGATATACTGTTCATAGTGGGCATTCACCTTACAGATCAAGTAAGCTCGCAGTTTAGTAGGAATGTTATGTGCTCTGATAAATTCAGTAGCAGCTTGAACAGGTGTTTGGTTCTTATATAACACAAGTCGAGATGTCTTGTCATGTGAAATCTTCACGTCAATGTAAAGCAACGGCTGAGGCTTGCAACAAGGATCCTCTGTAGTGAAGTAATCATACTTTCACGAGTTATTTTCAAGGAGTACTTATAATACTAGGGTTCGCTATATTACTATTTTGCATTCTATCATCGAAGGTACTTGATTCATATTCAGAATTCTCAGCTTCCATTATTTTCTCAAGATGCTGGCTTGATTTATTTTCTTTAGCTTTTGATAATATTTCTCGTTTCTGATCTTTATATTTTTCGATTAAAAACAACTCCTCAACATAAGGATCGTACTTTTGAAGAGGTAAGTCCTCATCAGTCTCGAGTTCTCTCTCGGGATCATGAGAGGTCCTGTTGGTGATATCCCTCAGCCTTAACATCTCCTCTTGAGGAGGTTCAAGTTGAGGATTTGCTTCTGTATCAACCTCTCACGTATTATGACTCGTATTTGCTGGAACAGTACTTAACGACTCCATATTATTAAAAGGTTTCTCAGCAGCATGTGACATCTCATTTGATGCAGTAGAGATATCCATACTTCCAGTAGCTTGCTTGGAAGGGTTCAAATTTTTAGTAGCAGAAATTAGTACAGTCTCATCACTGTTCATTGAATTTGCTACATAATTCTGTTGTTTCTTCTCAATTTTGTCCACCGACTGGTCGAGGAAATTACTCCGTGCATTGCTATCAGAATCTGAGTCAAGATCTACCTCGACTCTTCGGAACTTTTGATCTCCAGAATATAAAGAGTGGTTCTTTAACTTCTTTGAGAGTTCATGGTTGATCAGAGGCTTTCTTTCAGGCTTATATTGAGGTTTCCCTTGAGATTTTATCTGTGGTTTTATCTGCTGTTTCTCTTGAAACAGCTTCCTCTCACATTTATTTTTATTTTTATTGGAAAAATTCCTGGAAACCTTGACCACATTGACCTGAGGTGTCGACTTCTTAACTAATCTAACCTTATTCAGCTGTTTACTTCGACCTTCATGAGAGGATGGCCTCAAAAGGGTCTTTGAGATCCTCTTAAGTACATTCCTCTTGATAGAATTCTTGGAAGTCTTTGGAATATTTTCCTTATCTTCATAATTGCTAGTACTTATCTTAGACGATTTTATAGTCAAGTAAGAGGAGAAATTAAGATTTTTAGCTGATCTCAGCTCCTGTCTTGTAGAAATAGGTGAGTTCTTACCAGATACCTTAAAGCCAGGGTTTCGCTTAGAATTCCTGTTCATGCATAAAGTTGAAAACTTCCTTTTAATAAAATCCTCATATTCTTCAGGTATTTCGATGATTTTACTTGAGCTATCATATTTAATTACAGCTGATCTTGGAGAACGACATGTTGGAGACATTTTAGCTGAGTTTTGGTACTTATAACCTACGCTTTCATTGGTTCTTTGCGGGCTTTGCTGTATCTGGAAAGGCAACCGCTGGGTTCTTTTAATCGCACTAAATTCCTGTTTATTTTCCTTCTGTATATGCATATAATGAAACTGATAGAATGACTCGATTCATAGAAGAATTGCCTTAAAATTTTCCTTGAGTCCCTTCGTGATTCTGAACAAATAGTCTATATATCTTGTTTCTTTCACAGCCTGCTCAGATTTAGAATCAAGGTAGTGCATTTCATGAAGGATGTCTCTCATGTCTTGCTTAGAAAGAGAAGCTCCAAACCTCTCAGTAGCGAGTTTAAACTCCTTAATAAAGGACTTGTACAGAATTTTCTTGGATTTCATATTCATCATAGAGCGAGGACTGCATTTATTCACCTGCGGAGAAGTATTCCTTGTCTTAGAATGAGGAAAGAATGAACCTCCTGTTCGAATCCCAAAGCTATTCTTACTGGAAAAACTCGTCTGCTGAACCGAATTATGCATAACAGATTTATTTCCAGTCATATTGGATCGATCAAAGACCTCAATTTTTGAAATATTTTTAGTCTTTGATAACTTCCCTCTCCTCTTAGGATCTCGGGACTTCTTCTTCACAGACGCGTAATTCTGCTGAATTTCAATTGAAATAGAGGGTTTTTTGTAGAAAAAACTGGAGGAAACCTTCTTAATAGCAGTTGCTCTGCCTACTTTCATATTTAAATTAAATTTTAACGTTATTTCAATAATTTCAACTAAACCCGGGGTTTTGGGGTTTTGGGGTTTTGGGGG